CAGCAGCAGCAGCAGCAGCAAACAAACACACCGGACCTTCTCAGCAAGAACCAGCGCCACCGGCAGCACAAATTTGGCCCCCCTTCCCCCCAGACGAAAAGGGATTTGAAGCAGCAGCAGCAGCAGCAGCAGCAGCAGCAGCAATACCAGCAGCAGCAGCAGCAGCAGCAATAGCAGCAGCAGCAGCAATAGCAGCAGCAGTAACAGCAGCAGCAGCAATTGGAGTAACAACAGCAGCGGCAGCAGGAGGAAAAGCAGCAGCAGCAATAACAGCAGCAGCAGCAGCAGTAGTCAACAGGAGAGCAGCAGCAGCAGCAGCAGCAGTAACAGCAGCAGCAGCAACAGCAGCAATAACAGCAGCAGCAACAGCAGCACCCGCTGGTCTGGGTACTCTCAGTGGGACGTAGTGCAGTGTAGCGGCCGCCTCCGAACCCTCCAAACCCTAAACCCTAAACCCTAAACCCTAAACCCTAAACCCTAGCAATTGAAGAGCTGCTGCTGGCCTGCAGCTGCGAAGGCTGAAGAAGACGAAATAAATTTAAAAATAAAAACAAAAAAAAATTATTTTTTATTTTTGCAAATTAATTTTATTGAGAACAAATGACACGGGGAGGCCCACACCCCAGCAAAAGGCTGCTGCTGCTGCTGCTGCTGCTGCTTCTGCTGCTGCTGCTGCTGCTGCTGCTGCTGCTGCCGCTGCTGCTGCTGCTTCTGCTTTGAGTGCAGCAGCAGCTTCCGCGTCGCTGCTACCTGCACTGCAGCAGCAGCAGCTGCTGCTGCTGCTGCCGTTTTCATTGCAGCTGCTGCTGCCGCTGCTGCCGCTGCTGCTGCTGCCGCTGCTGCTGCTGCCGCTGCTGCTGCTGCTGCTGCTGCTGCTGCTGCTGCTGCTTTGTCGTGTTTAGGTGGTGGAGACTTGGCAAGGGTCTTTGATGGAAATCTCCTTCATAATTTGCAAAATTAATTTTTTTGTTTTTTCATCTAAAGGAACTTCGCCGGGCCTCGGGGCCTGCAGCGGGGTGTACAGACACCCCGGCGGGGGGGCCTTCGCAGCAGCAGCAGTTGCTGCTCCTGCTGCTGCTGCTGCTGCTGTTCCTGCTGCTGCTGCTGCTGCTGTTCCTGCTGCTGCTTCCTCGGGAAGCGCACCTTCCTCGTTGTCCGTCCGTTTGCTGCTGCTGCTGTGACGCACGCCCTCTTGCTGCTGCTGCTGCTGCTGCTGCTGCTGCTGCTGCTGCTGCACTTGGCTGCAGTGCGCGGGCGAGACAGCTTCTGGGGTTTCTGGGTAAGCCAGCTGCGCGTTGTCTGCTGCTGCGGGCAGCGGGGTGTACGTACACTGCAGGTCGCCTTCTGCGGGCTCCTCCCAGGGGTCGCCTGCTGCTGCAGCAGCAGCAGCAGCAGCAGCAGCAGCAGCAGCAGCAGCTTCCGAGGGGGGGCTGATTGCACGCAGCAGCTCCGCGTCTGCTGCCCCCCCCAGAGCCCCCTCAGAGCCCCACGAGGCTCCAGCAGCACAAGTGCGCTGGTAGTCCCGCTCGAGGGCTTGCAGCAGCAGGTCAGCCGTGCCCAGGCTTGGGCGGGAGAACCCCGGGGGTTCCTGGGGTTCCTGGGGTTCTTCCGCGTCGCTCATTGGCTGGTTGTGGTGGAATTTGAAGTTTTTGAGACTTTAAAGAACTCAGAAACGAAAAAGGAAGAAAAATGACTGCAGATCGCGCAGAGAGGGGGAGGGTGGCGGGCGGTCGCTGGGGTGTCTGCGCATACACCCCGTGTGCGCGGCGCTCGCGCGGCGCCGGCGAATCCGCTGCTGCCAATCAGTTTTAATTAAATGTTTAAAATGTTTAAAATGTTCTAAATAATGCAAAAAAGAATCAAAAACTCATTTTCGTCTTCTCGTGAAACTCGGAGTTTTTCGCGAGCCGCGAGTTGCGCGCGCTGAGTGGCTGCTGGCTGCGCGGCGCAGCCGCCTTCCGGAACTTGAACGGAAACTGCAATTAAAATCGAAATAAAATTGAAATAATTATTTTAAAATTCATTTTTAATTCATTTAAAACAACTCTTTTCACTTTTGACGCACTTTAAACTTCATTTTAGTCCATTTAAAACAATTTTTTCCACTTTTGACTTCTCCGCTCAACGAGAAGTCACCCGAACTTTCAAATGGCCTTCGGTGTCGCTACACCGCATCGCTGTCTACCAATAAATCATATCTATTTATTATTACTTTTATAATATATATATTTATATATATATTCCATATATATTTAATATATATTATGTATGAATATATATACATAATATATATATATACATATATATGTATATATACATATGTATATTTATTTATATTTATATTTCATCTTTCTTTGGGGTAAAGTCAAACGCCTTGACTTGGAATCTTCTTTAGATATTACACTTGGCCTTTTAAATGCCACTTTTAGTTCTGATTTTATTGCATTTTATCTTTTATTTATTTCCTTTTATTTTATTTCATTTTATTTTGTTTTATTTTATTTTATTTTATCTTTTATATATTTCATTTTATTTTATTTCTTTTCTTTTTTATTAAAGTTGCTTTTCTTTTCTGAACTTAAAAATTCAAATTTGAAGCTTTTACCTTTTAAGGGCGAAGAGTTAAATCGCCAATTTGTTTTGTTTTTAAATTAATTATTCAATTTAATTTAATTCATTTAATTCATTTAATTCATTTAATTAATTTAATTCATTTAATTCATTTAATTCATTTAATTCATTTCAACAATTTTGTTTAATAATTATATTTGAGTTAATTCATAAAATATAAAATTAAAGGTGCTGCGGCATCTCAATTCTTGGCACGTGTTTAGGGTTTAGGGTTTAGGGTTTAGGGTTTAGGGTTTAGGGTCTGGTGCGGAGCAGAACACCTTCGGAGGTTTTAGGAATTGAATTAAAAGAGAAATTAAAAATAAAAACTTTTAAAAACAATTTCAAATAATAAAAACTCTGCAAATAATTATACTTTTAATTTATTTATTTCTTTTGTTTTTAAATTCGAAAACAAAAAATAACCTGCAGCACCAACAGCTGCTGCACTGCAGCAGCTGGGGACCCCCAGCCCGTCGCGAAGCCCGCTGCTGCTGCTGCTGCTGCTGCTGCTGCTGCTGCTGCTGCTTCTACTGCTGCTGTTGCTGCTGCTGTTGCTGCTGCGACGCTGCCCAGCGGCTGCAGCAGAAGTAGAAGTTAAGAGACAGCAGAAGCAGCAGCAGCAGCAGAATCAGCAGCAGCAGCAGCACCAGAATCAGCAGCAGCAGCAGCAGCAGCAGCAGCACTTGAAGCTGCTGCTGCTGCTGCTGCTGATTCTGATATTGAGTGTTGAAGACTGATGAGCAGCTGCAGCAAAAAGTTGGATTTTTTAATTTTCAAAAATGCCATTTTTTGAATTTCAATTTAAGTTGAATATACATTTTATTAATTAAACAAAAGACAGAAATGACTTCTTTTTTAATGGCAGAGAATCAAAAAAAGAATTTTATTTTTTAATTTCAAATTTAATTTTAAAAAGTACTTTTTTTCCATTTTTGTTTTAATTTTTCTTTGAATTTGCACTGAGTGCTGCATGGCGGGGAACGCAAAGGATCTTCAGCTGAATAAAAGCTTTTTTTATTCATTTAAATTTAAATTTAAAAAATAAATAAATAAATAAATAAATGATTTAATTATTTCCGATTATTTCTTTTGCGCGGCAGCGGAGGCTTGTTGGTGAGGTGTACGTACAGCGGCGGCGGCGGCTGGCGATCGGTCTGGCGTCGCGCGGCGGAGTTTGGGGGAATTTGAAATCATTTTTGAATAAATTAAATAAAAATAAATAAAATTTAATAAATTAAATTCATTTAATTCATTTAATTCATTTAAATGGCCTTTTTTGCAGCGCAGGCGAAGGGGCCGCGCAGCCAACGCCCTGGGGCTGGGGGGTGGCTGCGGGCCTGGGGGCTTCTGCTGGTGGCCGTTTGGAGTTTGTGTTTGGGAATTTGAAATTGAAAAGAAAAGAGTTTTATTTGAATTGAAATAAAAAAGGATTTAAACCCCCTCGCTGCGGAAAAGGGCTGCTGCTGCTGCTGCTGCTGCTGCTGCTGCTGCTGCTTCTCCTGCTGCAATGGCCACCCTCGCCGCACCAAGTAAGCAGCAGCAACTTGGAAAAGAAAATAAAATAAAATGAAATTCAAAATTCGACTTTTCAGTTTTCGCGCACCCTTTGAGGTGTAGTGACACCTCAGAGCTCCCGCAACCTCACCAACCCCAGCTGCATGCGCTTCTCCGCGTTTTTCGTTTTTATTTCCTTTTTTGTTTATTTTATTTATTTTATTTATTTTATTCTTTATTTTATTCTTTATTTTGTTCTTTAAATGCATTAAATCTGTTATTCTGCGCATTTCAAGTTCTTTAAAATGCTGCTTTCCTTCCGCGGCTGCTCCGTGGAGTGTATGTACACCTCGCGCGGCACACCCGAACTCCGCATGCGCCGGAAACTTCAAATGTTTTATTTTTCATTTCTTTCGAGTCTGCTTTTCCCTGCTGCTGCTGCGCTGCTGCCAAACAGAAATTGCTGCTGCTGCTGCTGCTGCAGCAGCACCCGGTGGCGCTGCTGCTTCCCAAAAGCCCTGCTGGCAGCACGACGAGAAGCAGCAAGATGTGCGGCGCCAGAACATAGCAGCAGCAAGAGGTGAGCTGCAAGCAGCAGAAGCAGCAGCAGCAGCAACACTGCAGCAGCAGGTTGCTGCGTGAACGCGCTGCTGCTGCTGCTCTTGCTGCTGCTGCTGCTGCTGTTGCTGCTGCTGCTGCTGCAGTTTCCTTTGTGTCTTTGTGCTGCTTCTGCCCTCTGCAGCTGTCAGCGACGCCATTCGCACCAGCTTGGGCCCCCGAGGAATGGACAAAATGGTGCTGCTGCTGCTGTTGCTGCTGCTGTTGCTGCTGCTGCTGTTGCTGCTGCTGCTGCTGCTGTTGCTGCTGCTGTTGCTGCTGCTGCTGTTGCTGCTGCTGTTGCTGCTGCTGCTCCAACAAAACAACTGCTGCAGCTGCTGCACATTTGCCCTTATTTCATTTTCCCTTTGTGGGTGCTCTAGAGCAGTTTCTTTTCTCCCGTTTTCCCTTCTAGTTGATCAGCATTTATTTATTTATTTGTTTATTTAATTTATTTATTATTATTTGTTTATTTATTATTTATTTATTTATTTATTTATTTATTTATTTATTTATTTATTTATTTATTTATTTATTTGTTTTCAGATTCAAGACGCCCGCGGGGGCGTTCTGATAACGAACGACGGCGCGACGATCTTGGAGCAAATTTCGGTGATGCATCCGGTGGCCAAAATGGTGAATGGAAAGCGAAATAAAATGATTTCAATTGCAATTAATTTCAATTTAATTTAATTTTAATTTTAATTTAATATTAATTTAATTTAATTTAATTTAAATTTAATTTAATTTCAGATTTGTTCCTTTCAAATTCCCGAAACGCCCGCGCGGGCGATCGCGCGCGCATGCACGGGGTGTACGTACACCTGAAAAAAGCCGCTTTTTGCAATTTGCAAATTTCGACCCCGAGATGGCCCCACCGTTGGAACCGCCGATTCGGGGTTTGTCGAGGGTTTAGGGTTTAGGGTTTAGGGTTTAGGGTTTGGCGCAGATGGTGGAGTTGTCCCGCGCGCAAGACATGGAGGCTGGAGACGGCACCACTTCCGTGGTGGTCTTCTGCGGGGCGCTGCTGGACGCGGCGCAGCAGCTGCTGGACAAGGGGCTGCACCCGCAGACCATTGCTGCGGCCTTTGCGGAGGCTGCGGCCCAGGTGGGCTTAGGGTTTAGGGTTTAGGGTTTAGGGTTTAGGGTTTAGGGTTTAGGGTTTAGGGTTTGGGTTTTCGCCCCGAAGCCTCCTCAGTTCTGACTTCAACTTCTTTTTGAAAAAAAAATCCAAAAAGCACTTTTTTGGACTTCAGTTTTCATGTTAAGTGACCCTGGGACTTGGCGGCGGAGTCTTTCTGAGGGTTTAGGGTTTAGGGTTTAGGGTTTAGGGTCTAGGGTCTAGGGTTTAGAGCTTGTTTTGGTGCGTATTGGAGCTGCTTTCGGGACGCTGCTTTTGCTTTCCTCCCTCCTGCTGCTGCTGCTGCTGTACGCGCTTTCCTCCCTCCTGCTGCTGCTGCTGCTGCATGCGCTTCCCGCCCTGCTGCTGCTGCTGCTGCTGCTGCTGCTGCTGCAGGCGGAGCCAATCCTAAAGGCAATGGCAATTCCGGTGAAGTTGGAAGACCGAGAAAGTATAATTCAAACGGCGGCGACTTCGCTGCAGTCGAAAGTGGTTTCGCAGAACGCGGCGCTGCTGGCGCCGATTGCCTGCGACGCGGTCACCGAGGTCCGGAAAACTTCGAATTTTTTCCGGAATTTTCGCGTTTTTCTTTTTATTTTTAATTCATTTCGTAAAATGTTTTCTTTTTCGTCCAATCTGCTCGAAATTCCGTTCAAATCGAGCCCAGATCGGCCGATTTCTCTCGGAATTCAGAAATTCGGAATCGCCGTTTCGGCGCTTCCGAACTTCGGAATTCCGGCTTTTCTTCCCGTTTTTTCGCTTTTCTTCTCGTTTTTAATTTCTTTATTTGCAATTTAATGAAATGTTTTTTGTTTTTGTTTTATTTCGTCGAAATTTCCTTCAAATCGAGCCCAGATCGGCCGATTTCTCTTTTACCGACGCTGTACCTGCTTGCCCGGCTTTCCCTCCAATTCAACTTGTGCTGCTGCTGCTGCTGCTGCTGCTGCAGTGTTCTTCCCATTTGCTGCAGCTCTTTTGCTGCTTTTCTGTTTTCTTTTTTTGTTTTTGAAAGTTTTCTTCAAGAGTTTCGAGTTTCTCGTGCTGCAGTTGTTCAGTTTCTTTTCTTTTTTCACTTTTCCTTTTCTGCATCTTCCCGCACTTTCACGCCACACTGAGCTGCTGCTGCTCGTGCTGCTGCTGCTTCACCTGCTGCTGCTGCTTCACCTGCTGCTGCTGCACCTAATCCTTGTCCCATTGCTGCAGCAAGGGTTGCTGCCGCTGCTTCCCGCGTGGCTGCTGCCGCGCCGGTTGCTGCTGCTGCTGCTGCTGCATGGCTCGCTGCCTGCGCGGCCGCCGCTGCTGCACGGCCCGCTGCTGCTGCTGCTGCTGCTGCTGCTGCTGCTGCTGCGCAGGTGATGCGGCGGGACTCCGGCGAGGGCTGCCAAGTGCGGCTGCAGGACATTCGAGTTGTGAAGAAGTTGGGAGGAACTGTTGAAGACTCCGAAATGGTCAAAGGAGTCGTTTTGGTCCAACAAAAAGTCGCCAAGAGGGCCAACGGACCCACGCGCGTCCAGGGCGCCAAGATCGGTGCGCTGCTGCTGCTGCTGCTGCTGCTGCTGCTGCTGCAGCGCTGTTTTGCAAGTTGCTGCTGCTTTTGTTACTTGGTTCTTGTTGTTGTTTCCCTTTTGCTGCTGCTGCTTTTTACTGGCATTTCCCTTTTGCTGCTGCTGCTTTTTACTGGTTTTTTCCCCTTTACTGCTGCTGCTTTTTATTATTTGTTTTCCCCTTTTGCTGCTGCTGCACCTGCGAACGTGCCTGCAAGAGAGTTTTTGGAAAAGACTTTTGGAAATACTTTTTGGAAATACTTTTTAAAAAATACTTTTTGGAAATACTTTTTTAAAAATGCTTTTTGAAAAGACTTTTTGAAAAGAGTTTGCAAAGTGTTTTGAGTTCTTGCATGCGCGTGTGAAGGAAGGCTGGGGGTTTGCTGCAGTGTCTGTTTTGCTGCTGTTCAACTTGAGTCGGATTTCGGAATTCTTTTCGTTTTTTTCCGTTTTTTTTCGTCTTTTTGCGAATAAAAGCAAATAAAAATGTTTAATTTGATTAATTTATTTGAATTGCGTTGCAAAATTCGAAAAAGAGCGTTTTGGAAGTGCGTGGGGGCGCAGGTTTGATTCAGTTTTGCCTCTCGGCTCCGAAAACGGACATGGAAAACCACATTGTAATAACAGATTATTCTCAAATGGACAGAATGTTGAAAGAAGAAAGAATTTTAATTGCAAAAATGGTCAAACAAATCGCAGCCACCGGCTGCAACTGTCTGCTCATTCAAAAGAGCATTCTCCGGGACGCAGTCAACGTGGGTTGGGCTTTTCTCGAGTTCCCTTTTTAGTCTTTTCTTTCAATGTTCATTTCGGTTTTATTATTCTTTTTTTATTCTTTTGCAATTCTTTTTCATTTATTCTTTTACAATTCTTTATTTGTTCTTTTGTAATTCTTTATTTGTTCTTTTGTAATTCTCCTTTATTTGTTTTTTTGCAACTCTTCTTTATTTGTTCTTTTCAGTTCTCCTTCTTTATTTGTTCTTTTCAGTTCTCCTTCTTTATTTGTTCTTCTCAGTTCTCCTTCTTTATTTATTCCTTTGCAGTTCTCTTTACTTATTTATTCTTTTGCAATTCTTCTTTATTTATTCTTTTGCAATTCTTCTTTATTTATTCTTTTGCAATTCTCCTTTATTTATTCCTTTGCAGTTCTCCCCCGCTTCTCGCGGCCTTTCTCTCCTGTTTTCTGTCTTCTAGCTTTCTTTCAAGACTCGAAACTTTGCTTTTAATCTTTTCAAGTTTGCAACACTTTGCTTTTAATCTTTTTCAAGTTTTCAAAACTTTGTTTTTAATCTTTTCCAAGTTTGCGAAACTTTGTTTATCTTTTTCAAGTTTTCATAACTTTGTTTTTAATCTTTTTCAAGTTTTCAAAACTTTGTTTGTGAAACTCGAAAGTGTTTCTGCACTGTCTCGTTTTTTGCGTCACTTTCGTTGAGTCTTTTCCTTCAAAGATCACTTTTGAAAATGTTTTCTTTATTGCTTTTTGTGCAATTAAAGTTGAGGTTTTCTCGGAAATATTTTAATTAAAATAAATTAAAAAAGTGAAGTTTTTGGTTTTGAGTTTTTCATTTTCTGTCTTTTAAACGCCGCACTTCGTTTTCAAAACCCAACAGAACTGCGTTTGCTGTTGCCACTCCTGTTGCAGCTTTTGGCCATTCTTTTTTTTCTTTTTTGTTTCTTTTCTTTTTTATTTCTTTTCTTTTTTATTTTTTTTCTTTTTTGTTTCTTTTCTATTTATTTCTTTTCTTTTTTGTTTCTTTTCGTTTGTTTCTTTTCTTTTTTATTTCTTTTCTTTTTTATTTCTTTTCTTTTTTATCTCTTTTCATTTTTATTTCTTTTCTTCTTTGTTTCTTTTCTTTTTTGTTTCTTTTCTTTTTTGTTTCTTTTCTTTTTTATTTCTTTTCTTTTATATTTCTTTTCTTTTTTATTTCTTTTCTTTTTTATTTCTTTCGTTTTATTTCTTTTTTGTTTTCTTTTTTGCAGGACTTGTCTCTGGACTACTTGGCGAAAGCAAAAATACTTGTCATTCGAGACATCGAAAGAGATGATATTGAATTTCTTTCCAAGACCCTCGGCTGTTCGCCGGTGGCCTCTTTGGACCACTTCACTGCAGACAAGTTGGGGCGGGCGGACCTCGTTGAGGATGAATTGGTGAGTTTTTCTGTTTTTAAAGTTATTTAAAGTATTTTAAAGTATTTTAAAGTTATTTAAAGTATTTTAAAGTTATTTGAAGTATTTTAAAGTTATTTTAGAGTTATTTTAGCGTTTTTGGAGTTTAAAGAATTGCATTTCACGGCAGATCAGCACTTCAAGTCGTAGTCAGCATCGCATCTGCTTCAGGGAGGGCCTGGGGATGCCGTGGGAAGTGGAAATCGAATTTAATTCGTTTTAATTGAATTAAAATTATAATTTTAATTAAATTAAATTATAATTTAAATTATTTAAAATGCTTTTTTCATTTCAGGTGCCCGGCGGAGGCCACATCGTGCGCATGACGGGAGTTCCTTCGCAAACGGCAGTGACCGTTTTGCTGCGCGCTTCCAACCAGTTGGTGAGTTTTCTTTGTTTATTTTTCTTCTTTTTTCGAATTATTTATTTTATTTTTTAATTTAAATATATTTTATTATTATTTTCGCTCTTTAATGCTTAAATAGTGCATGCAACAGCCGTTTGGGGGCTGTTGGCTGCGCCTCTCCATCTCTGCAACTTTCGTGCTTTCTTATTTCCACAAATATCTGCATGTCTGACTGTCTAGACATGCAAAGACAAATAACACAAAACAAAAGTCCTAATTAATTAAAATTTACTTTTTATAAATTTAATTAATTAAATAAACAAATAAATCATTCAAAAGTAACCGACGGAGGCCTCACCACTCCACTGCATGCCACTTTGTGGCGCACTGCATTCACCGCTCGTTCACCAGCGCGTCTCAGCTGTGCTCGTTTTGCTGCTGCTGCTGCTGCTGCTGCTGCCTGCTGCTGCTGCCTGCTGCTGCTGCTGCTGCTGCTGCTGCTGCTGCTGCTGCTGCAGATGCTAGACGAGACTGAAAGGTCTTTGCACGACGCGCTGTGCGTGGTTCGCTGTTTGGTGAGGAAGCAGTTTCTGCTTCCTGGCGGAGGCGCGCCAGAGGCGGAGTTGTCTTTGAGGCTGCACGAGTGGTGAGGAATTTGCAGCAGCTGCAGCTGCTGCAGCAGCAGCTGCTGCAGCAGCTGCAGCAGCAGCAGCAGCAGCAGCAGCAGCAGCAGCAGCAGCAGCAGCTCAGATATTTGGATTTTTTGTAAACTTCGCAACGCGAAAACACCTGTAGTCCATTTCTTCACCGTGAACAGCCCAGCAAGCAAACCAAGAGCTGCCTGAGCCTGTCTGCTGCTCCCGCGGCCTGCTGCTGCTGCTGCTTTCTGCTGCTGCTGCTGCTGCTGCTGCTGCTGCCAAAGCGGGCATTTGCTGCAGAAGTGCAGCAAAAGTGCACTAATTGGCACTTCTTTTTTTGCTGCTTCTTCGCCAGGGCCTGCACTCTCCCCGGTCTTAGCCAAATGTGCGTAAAGCGCTTCGCGGAGGCCCTCGAGGTGGTGCCTTACACTTTGGCTGAGAACGCAGGTAGGCTTTTCTTGGCTTTCTGCGCGGAGTTTGGTTTGATTTGAAGCAACAAATATCCTTTTTCTGGAAATTAAAGCAATAAATATCTTATTTCCGACATTTAATGCAATTATTATCTGTTTTCCAATGTTAAATCCAACAAGTTCCAGGTTTCCAGGGTTTAAAAGAACGAATTTCAAGTTTTTAGGGTTTGGGAAATGAATTTCAGGTTTTGGGGTTTAACGCAGCAGACTTTAGGTTTCAAAGTTTTGCATTTCGTCAAAGTGCAGCAGAATAGAAGGGTTTGGGTGTTCCGTTCTCACGAATCCTGCTGCTGCTGCTTTGCTGCTGCTGCTGCTTTGCTGCTGCTTTGCTGCTGCTGCTGCTTTGCTGCTGCTGCTGCTTTGCTGCTGCTGCTGCTTTGCTGCTGCTGCTGCTTTGCTGCTGCTGCTGCTGCAGGCCTGCAGCCGCTGGAAGTGGTGGCGGAGCTGCGGCACCAACACGCGATGGGGAAGACGAGCAGCGGCATTGACGTGCGGCAGGGCTGCGTGGCGGATTTGCTGCAGCAGCAGCAGCAAGTGCTGCAGCCGCTGCTGGTGACTTTGAGTGCAGTGCAGCTTGCTGCTGAGGCTGTTGCGATGATTCTGAAGATCGACGACATTGTTCTTTGCAGATAGTCTTTTAGTTGAAATTCAAAGACTTCGAGTTCTTGAAATTAATGAACTTCGAGTTCTTGAAGGACTTCGAGTTCTTTAAATTAATTAACTTCGAGTTCTTGAAAGACTTTGCAGTTCTTAAGATTAAAAGACTTCGGAGTTCTTCAAATTAAAAGGCTTTGGAGGCCTTATAAAGGCTTTAAAGTCCTTAAAAAGGCTTTAAAGTCCTTAAAAAGGCTTTAAAGTCCTTAAAAAGGCTTTAAAGTTCTTAAAAAGGCTTTAAAGTTCTTAAAAAGGCTTTGGAGTTCTTAAAATGAAAAGACTTTGGAGTTCTTAAAATAAAAAGTCTTTGAAGTTCTTAAAATAAAAAGACTTTGGAGTCTTTGGGGAAACTCTTCAAAGAGTTCGCCCGCGGATCGACTGTGCTGACTTGACTACAGGCGCAGAGTTCAAACTCGCCAGTCTTCATCTTTTCCATTTACAATTCTTATTTACTTTGTAGAATGTTTTCCATTTAAAGTTCTATTTAAAGTTCTTATTTATTTTGTAGAATGTTTTCCATTTAAAGTTCTTATTTATTTTGTAGAATGTTTTCCATTTACAATTCTTATTTACTTTGTAGAATGTTTTCCATTTAAAGTTCTATTTAAAGTTCTTATTTATTCTGTAGAATGTTTTCCATTTAAAGTTGTATTTAAAGTTCTTATTTATTTTGTAGAATGTTTTCCATTTAAAGTTCTATTTAAAGTTCTTATTTATTTTGTAGCATGTTTTCTATTTAAAGTTCTTATTTTGTAGCATCTTTTCCATTTACAATTCTTATTTATTTTGTAGAATGTTTTCCATTTAAAGTTCCACTTAAAGTTCTTATTTATTTTGTAGAATGTTTTCCATTTAAAGTTGTATTTAAAGTTCTTATTTATTTTGTAGAATGTTTTCCATTTAAAGTTCTTATTTATTTTGTAGAGTGTTTTCCATTTAAAGTTCTATTTAAAGTTCTTATTTATTTTGTAGAATGTTTTCTATTTAAAGTTCTTATTTATTTTGTAGCATCTCTTCTATTTAAAGTTCTATTTAAAGTTCTATTTAAAGTTCTTATTTATTTTGTAGCATCTTTTCTATTTAAAGTTCTTATTTCGTAGCAAGTTTTCCATTTAAAGTTCTTATTTATTTTGTAGCAAGTTTTCCATTTAAAGTTCTTATTTATTTTGTAGAATGTTTTCTATTTAAAGTTCTTATTTATTTTGTAGCAAGTTTTCCATTTAAAGTTCTTATTTTGTAGCATGTTTTCGATATAAAGTTCTTATTTTGTAGCATATTTTCCATTTAAAGTTCTTATTTTGTAGCATTTCAACTTGCAATAAACTGCAATTACTGCTACAGGGACCACTCAGCAAGACGGGCGCTGCAGAGTCGGCAGCGGATTCCCCGCAAGCAGCAGCAGCAGCAGCAGAAGCAGCAGCAGCAGCAGCAGCAGCAGCAGCAGCAGCAGAAGCAGCAGCAGCCTGAGCTGCGCAGCAGCTTTTCATTTGCATTGAAAAATAAAATAATGAAACGCAGAAAGCACTTCCTATTCCATTATTGGCACTTCTTTAGATCGTGGAAAAGAAACAATTCACAAAAGTGAAGCAATAAATAGAAACAATTCACAAAAGTGAAACAATAAATAGAAACAATTCACAAAAGTGAAACAATGAATCCTGAATTTCTCAACACGGCTTATAATGTGATAATATAAGGGAAGAAGAGGCCTCACTTCAGCTGCTGCTGCAGCACTTCAGCTGCTGCTGCAGCACTTAGCTGCTGCTGCAGCACTTAGCTGCTGCTGCAGCACTTAGCTGCTGCTGCAGCACTTAGCTGCTGCTGCCTAACCCTTCGCAGCGCGCACAGTGGAGTTTGCGCTGCTGCGCCACAACGGCTGTCTTGAAATCTGCCGCTGCAGCTCTGCGGGCAGCCAATGCGCAGCCGCTTTGCTTCAATCTGCATATGCTGCAATAGTATGCGGAGTTGAAGGGTAGCGGTCCGCGAATCTGTAGACTTCCAGCCCCGCCTGCAAAGATGGCAAAAGCGGCGAAGACCTGAACTGGGGTGAAGATGACTGGCTACTGGTTTAATGCAGAGTTCACAGACCCTTCAGGGGCCTCTTAATTGACTTATTTTCCTTTTTTGTCGGCTGTGGCTGCGAAAATATCCTCTTTTGTTGGCTGTGGCTACGCAGCTACGCAAGTGCCTTTGCAGGCCTTGCAGTGCACACGCACGTCGCTTAACAAATCCAGCGAGCCGCTTTTCGCGTCGTAAGACTCCGCGTAGACAACGCAATCAATGCCCTGGGCAAAAAGCAGCAAACAATTGCATTTCCTGCTGCTTTCTTGCGATTCTTTTTGTCATTTTGACGTGAGAGCATCACCACTGGCACTGAGGAAAACAAAACGCGCAACTTAGCGTCCAAACACGCAAAAAAAGAGCACAAGATCGTGAAAAGACAGAGTAAAGCAGGAAGGCACCGGATTCACCATTCCATGGACAAGCTCCTCGCAGTGTTGCAAGTTTGTCGCAAAATTGCTCACAGCACTTCAGCAGCAAGCGCAGTGTACTTTATATTTTAATTTGTCAGCAATATTCTTTATTATATTCCTTTTTATTTGATGTATTCAACTCAGAAGAGCTGACGGACAGCTTGGATCGTCAGCTTGGCGCAGCTCAAGCAGGGCAGGCACGTCACGTAGAGAGTTCCTCCGAGACAGCGTTCCCTGCCTCACCACAGAAGCACAGAGGAGCCCCCCAACAGAATCTTTTCGAAAGTGGATTTCATTCACAAAAACAACAAATTAAGTTTCGCCTGAGGCTTCTTGTGATCTCAAGTAGAGTTGCAACGCTCAATCCCATTCAACTCTGAGCAGACTGAGTCCATGAGCCTGTTCCGGGGAAACAGACTTGAAAACCACCCCCACCTGCTTCCAGCAAGGCATTGGCCTCAGCGTGAATGCAGCAGCAGGCCTCCAGCTGCCTGCCCGCATGGACTTCGCTGTCTCTGCATCTTCGGCAGCCTCCTTCGAGGCAGTTTCTTGCACCTGAGTGGGTGCCGTTGTAGCCAGTGGACACCAGCTGCACAGAAAGCCCACTAACTGCAAAGAAAACAAAGTTTTAAAGTCTTAAAAACAAAAGCTGCGCCACTTTCAGCAGCAGCACTCCATAGAAGCAGCACAAGTGCATGCCAAGCTCTTGGGTCTCAGCCCACCCGGTTGCTGCGGACGACGATAGCGCCGACTCTGCAAAAAAACCACGCATGCAAATGAAACTCCTTTTAATAACACTCTTCAGTGCAAAACAAAAGATGACAGATCCAAATGGAGCTCTTTTGAACAGTATTCTTCAGCTTTCCAGCCGCAGTTCAGAGCGAAGCCTTTTCGGTCTCAGCCGCTACAAGCGCAGCTCAGGGCTGTTTTAAAAGTCTAAGACAATAAAGTTTAGACTTCAGAATCCCCATTTGGCATTTACTAAAACAATAAAGTCTAAATTTCAGAATTCGTTTTTTGCCTGTCACCTTCGCTTCAGGCAATTCGCACGGCTCGCAGCCAGCGAAGCCAGCCGAATGAAATATGCGTCCCAACAGGGGCGGTGGCGATCGGGGTTGGCCAAATCGAGCCCTGAAGAGGAAAAAGAAAGAAAGAAAAGCAAAATATTTGAATTTAAATAAAAAAGAACTTCAAAAAGGCCGAAATAGAAAGAAAAAAACGTTTGAATTCAGTATTAATCGCGGGAAAGAATGCGCTGCATGCGTTCGCTCACTGCGCATGCACGTAAACCCAGTGCAGACCAGAGTGCATTAATCTAAAGATTCTGTTTCTAAGTTTCTAAAGAAGAATAAGAAAGACTGCACCATTAATTCGCCAAATAAAAGATAATTCTGCTGCAGCACAGCAGCTACAAAGAAAAGACAGGCGCAGAACTGCAACAGTGCAGCTTCTGTAAACAGCAACAGGCGAAGCCTAGAGGGCTATAAAGGCTCACTGAGCAGTTTCTGTTTGAGAGACCACAGATCCCCATCACCTAAAACGATTGCGTCTGCTTGGCGCATGCCTGGGAAGCAGCAGAAAAAGGAAATAAACAAAACTCGACAAGTAATCGCTAAGCAATGCCACAGAGCAGCAAACTAAATAAGGAAAGAGGAATTACAGGCATAAATTCCGTTTCCGGCTTTTTCCGTGTCTGTTCCGAACATAAGCTGCAAACAAAAACACGAACTGACAGCAGCAAAGCGCCTCCTTCCCACCACCAGCCCTGGCCTTCTGCCCGCTAAATCTGGCGAAGAAAAAGAAAAAAAGAAGAAATAAAAAATGAAAAAGTTAATTCACTTTGTCTTCCTGAGCCAAAAAGGCAGAAACGTCAGTCGCTGCTGCGCGCTCCAGCCGAGTGAGAATGGGCGCGTCGACGGCGAGCAGCACAAAGATAGGCCGTTTTCTGTTCAGTGCGCAAAAAGTCCAAAAAAGCTTTTTTTTTGCAATTATATTTTATTAAAAGATAAAAAAACATTTTTTGGGATGTCAAATAATTAAATGCATGTCAGTTTCGCCCCAGATCAGCCCCTCTTCGCCCGCGCACCCACCTGAAGATCTTCACCTGCTCCAGTGTCTCGAAGCCCAACACCACGAAGCTACTGTCCCAATGTTGCATGCCTAACAACAAAAAGTATAAAATGGATTAAATTAAAGTTTAAACAAAAAAGTATAAAATGGATTAAGTTAAAGTTTAAACGAAAAAGTATAAAATGGATTAAGTTAAAGTTTAAACAACTACGAGCACTTGGCAGAGAAGTGAAGCTCGGGCCTCTGCATCCCCCAAAGTAGGAATCTGCTGCAGGCCAGCTGTACGTACAGTATTCCACTGCTGCTACTGCTGCTGCTGCTTCTGCAGTCTTTGGGCTTGCTGCTTCTTCTTCTTCTTCTTGTCCATCTTCTTCAATCATTTCGGAACAAAGGCCCCTCTTAAGGCCCCGGACTTGGCCATTTTTTGATCCACTTTTCACTTCCCGATTTGCAAAGCTGGCTAACTCCACAATGCTCGAGCCGTGCACTTCCCGCAGGATCGCCGCAGCTGCCTTTTTGCCACTCTTCTGGGGGCCCACAATGCCCACCACCACCATCTTCGCTTCCTTTCAAATGGCCCGGAAGCAGAAACCCTGCAGCCTCGCTGCTGCTGCTGCTGCTGCTGCTGCTGCTGCTGCTGCTGTGGGCTGCCGCTGCAGTCTGGCCCTCAGACTCTCCTTCAGAAGCAGCGGGGGACTCAGTGGTGCAGCTCACGTCACTGTTTTGGTACACCGCTGAGCCGCCAGCCACCAGAGAAGCTGCAGAGCACCCGAGAGCGAGGGCGGGGCAAAGGGCCACAGAACTTAAAAGAAAATGGCAAATAAGCTGAAAAATTTGAAAATAAATGTCAAGAAATTGCACTTGCGCTCGAGGCGAGTGAAGAGTGCGCGAAGACTCACATGTGGCAAGTGTGGGGCTGTGGGGGCGTCTGTATGCGCAGCAAGAATAGCTCTGAGCTACACAAACAGATTCTTAAAATACTTTGCAAAACAGATTTAACAATTTTAATAAAAGGTGCATTTATCTCTCCGCCTTCTCCTCAACTACGCTGTCAACACCCACCGCGGAATTCCTAGCAGTGTAGTGCTGAGACACTACTATGGGGCTGACTGTGTCCTAGGGATGATAGCTCGCTAGCGACCTGCAAGGGGCCGCTGGAGGGGGACAGGACCCCCCCAATACATGAAAAAAAAGAAAAACAGTTAGTGAGTTCTAGTGAAAACGTGAATTGTGCGGAAATCGTGGGGAGACTGAGGCTGGCGAAGGCGGGAAGCTCCGAGAAGGGAGCGAATCGAAGACAGAGAACACAGACACTTCTCGAATTGGCGTATTTCAACGGAATAAAGCTGTAGAGACCGAAAAATGGGGCTAATCTAGGTGTAGAATGTAGGCCTGTAGAGGGACAGGAAACAGCGTAGTCGCAGCAGTAGGCGCCGCGCACTACAAGTAGTGTCTTGTAACGAGCCCGCACCTGCCTGCCTTGCGCCTTCATGGGTGCAACCCCGACCGCATTCTGCAAGAATAACTCAACTTTAAAATCTAATTAGTACAAAAACACATTATTTCATGAAGCAGGGAGCTTTAAATAACCAAATAGAGCTGCCCGTTGAACGCAGCGTTTTCCAGGCCAGTGCATGGAGTCACTGGGAGCCCCGGAAGCTGCAGAGGCTCGAGCGAATGGTCACCTTGAGTGTTCTTTCTGTCTATTACACTTAAACGTTGTTAATTATCACCTCCGATGTTCACTTAGGCACTTCGGCGCTGGCATAATGCTCAACTGCGGTGTTCTGCAATACATACCTGTTGTGGCGGGCACTCAGCGCCAGACTGACCAGTGGACCGCTTGTGAATACTTCGTGAAGAGGGCCCACCCAGGGGCCCGCCAATGCATTTTCCTCATAAGTAGGAGCTTCACTAGGGTGTTATTGGCTGTTTACTTTAGAGGCTGCGCCCAGAGTCACCTAATCACAAAGTAGGCACACCAGTCACATCACCAAATTGCTGGTACTCGCAGGTCCACAGAACCTCCACAAGACACCCAGACTCACAGCTAAAGTGCATTCATGAGCACAGATCTTAGGCCACAGTCCTTGGGCCTCTGTGCAGCAATGTATGCGAGTGGCATGCAATTTCACAAACCTCGAAAAGAGTGAGAAAATTGTTGTTCTCACTGTCTGTTTTCGACGGAGAAGACTCATTAATTGAAGGCCGCGTCAAACTAACTCATCAGGGAAAGTGCAGCCAGTCAATGCAATTGCAATGGGTGAACTCTTTTCTCATTCTTGTCGAAATGCGTCTAAAGGATGCTACAATTATGTGTTAGCGGCTAAGTGCTGTCGAGGAATGCAAAAGAAAACGAGGAGATTTAATAACTAATCCAGGCTAATTTGTTCACTCCTATACATCTTTATTTGTGATATTGGCAAATGGTATAGTACTTACTGGACAGTAAAAGCTATGAAATTCCTTGGCCTTCATAGAGCGCAATATCCTTCAAAGGCTAACTCAAGCAGAAACTTCTGGCATGCAGAATGGCTTTATTCCGATTGCGAATATTTTATACTGAGACAGCCAACCTCCCTGCCGTGGCAATTCAACAGCCAAACATGAAGCACCAGTCTTCAACACAGCCACTTGGTGGGCTTTTTGCATTTGTCGTGAGCTGTAGGTAACGACCAGATATTCAAGAGCTTTGCTTGCTTCAGCCTGCTGAATGATTTATTTTAGCTGCACACCTGTCTTGCTAACAAGAGCCTCTAGGAGATATGATGAGTAAATTGTGAATTAATCGAAATCCAACAATAGCTCATAACACACAGAATATCTTGTAAGGGCATGTTGTACTGCAGCCCTTGCTGCCACGCCGCCAAAGGAGTGAAGCAGCTTTTCAATGCTGCCTCATGCATATTAATACTACCGAACTTAAAAGAAGCGCATCCAGGCTACAACACTCTATGCACATTTACTAGTTTCATCACGCGCTTATTCGGTGAACGTGTGTAGGCCAACATACCAGTGGCTGGTGTTAGGTAAACGCATGCAACTAGAATGGAATAGTCGCCTATTAGCCACGCCGCCCCGACTTGCAGAGTAAAGCTGCACTTATCTCGGACAAAGAGCAAACGCAAATGCAGGAAGCCCAAAGAATGTCTAACCTTTGCACCTACAGAAGCGTCTCAGGACTTTAAGACCTCAAAAATTCACATGAAGTTACCTTATGTTCCTTATGTACTGGAAAAGTCACTTTTGCGGTCGTGCGTCTCTCTAAGGTCTAAATTAAACTGCAAAGATGCTCCGTCTCAATTCCAAAAAAAGCGCAATGATGTCTTCAATTCGCCGGAGAAAGCCCTCTCCTACGCTACGAAACCTTTCTTAAACCCTTAACAAGGGTTTAAGAAAGGTTTCGAGTTTCGAGAAGTGGACGAATTTTGCATCTTCCGCCTCTTATTTGCAGCAGCGCAGCACTGCATTTCAGTGTGAGCCCCGTGTACGTGCGAGTGAGCGTCACGCTTCAGCTTCTCTGTGTCAGTATACAGTGCTGCTTCTTCTTCAGCACTAATACACACTCATTTTCTCCGAAAAAAAGTGTTTCCTGATCTGCCGTAGGCAATTCTTTGTCAACACTTGATAGAATTCACGTGCATTGAGGTGGTGGGAAGTAACACACCATATGCAGATAGTTCTACCCTACAGGCCAGTATAGAAGCCTATGACAGCCATAACATAAATTTCACTGTTGGTAGCACGAGTGTAGTGCACGTACTTGATAGTTTTCCCCATGAGCTGATGAGCAGACGCTCGGAGCTTGGCGTAATTCTGTTCTTTCGGAAAAAAGAATCTGAAGCAAACCAGAGGGAAAAGTGGCATTGTTTGGCCTGCTTCGAAGCGACAACCAGCCGTGAGTCTATGCCAGGTGAAATGCCCTTTTGGGCCGTGCGATGAAATATGAAATGATGCCCGAATGCTCGCGTAGAGAGGCAGGAAACGCAACCTCTTCAAAGTCCAGCAATGCCAGAAACCCCTGCCGAAATATGTGCCTGTGAGTAACGTGTAAGCAAGAAACGACGTAGAATAGTGTGGCATAGAATCTTTTCCATGAGGAGAGAAGCAAGCGCCTTCTAATGGCGGGCTGCAGGCTGGAAATAAAAGTACTTTTCTGCATCTGAAACGTTGATGGAAAGGTCAAGCCTTTTTCTGTTCTTTAAACCTTCCTTGGTGTGAGCCGCGCTGGCCTCATGGCTTAGCAAAATGGCAGAAAAGTTTAGATGATTTCCGTAAAATTCATTGCAACTTCAAGTATAGTGTGCTGAGAACAGTAAGATACCGTGACTTCGGCAAATTCACTTAATAGAATCTTCCCCATTAGCTCTCCCCAAAAGGGGCTTCATCGGCAACAAGTGTTGTCAGTAAAGCTGCGTGATGTCTAAGTGTGGAGTAAACGATCGTTTCGACTCTGCAGGCATTCACGCCGTCGCCTTGTGTACCAGTGTGTGACTCCTTGTTCGATATTTTTGTTTCAAGGGCTATTTGGGGTAGCCTTCTTTGTGGGGCCGCTTGTGGATTTGTTTGCGAAACACATATTCTGCTTGGAGTCTTGAATTGAATCCAAAGGCTCGAGCCTCTTTAACTAGTTATATCTCATTTCAGTCAGTCTCGTGCCTAGCACCTGTTGATCTGTCCTTAAACATCTTTAGTTTTGAGCTGCCAAGCTCATATGTTGCATTAGAACGCCCATATTTTTTGAAAGTACAAGATTAACCAAGTCTTATTGCGGCGAGCAACCGAACCGCCTCCACTGCCAGGAAGGCTTGCTCAGCTCTACGGGTTCGGCCTCAGGTTTAGCCACATAACATGCACCAGAACCTGCCGTAATTTAATTCGACTCAAAAAGTGCCACGAAATTGCAATAATTACATCTGAGTAGAGCCAGCATTACGGGACACAGTGCGGCCCTTTGAAATAGAGTGCTTAGGGGCTGTTGCGTGTGCGTTTGAGTGAGGCTCTAACTAGTAAAACTTCAAGCAGAGACGTTCAGTTCAAGACGTGGCACCTAGAAAGAAGCTAAGACTTACTAATCAAGACAGAAAATTTTGGAGTGTCGTTTCTGGCCTTGCCGATCTACTTTTTTCAACAGGTCCGTCCGCACGCCTCCTCAGCCAGGCGTGCGCTACACCAAAAATGCCATCGAAATGGCGTTTACAGCGACATAAAGCCTCCATTTACAACAGTGCACCTCAGATATTTAGAGTGTTACTTCGTCAGGACAAGAACTGATGAGAGAGCTCCGACGGTGTGCATTGAGTACATCAGCCCCGGGAGAGCACTGAAGAATACACATTCCGCAAATGGCCACGAAAACCTTGATTCTCGACGGAACTGAACGCAATACGAGACTTTGACACTATTGAAAAACTCTCGTTTCAATTGTCTAACTGTAATTTTAAAAAGCACAGAAGCTCCCCAAGCCTGAACTCTAAGCCCTTGCTGGCGTCACCGCAACGGCCAGCCTGAGCAATCGTGCGTGCAGCACTCTGCCAGATCAAACAAAGCTCTGAAATAGATTTCGCACCTACATAAGAAGAAACAAGCTTACATTATTGGCCATCAACCACCATCTTCCACGCATATAAGCCCAATAGTGACACAGACAGCGTCCAAAGCAGCCAGGAAACGTGCAGTTAACAATGCCGCATAGCATAAGTGTAAGATTTCTGCGTACGTTTGAGGAATGTAAGAATAACTTTGGAGACCAAAATATATTGCCGTTGTTATGCAATTTGCGTTTTCTCAAGAAGCCCTCGCAGGACACTGCCGAGAGATGGTAAGGATTGCACCCCACAAGCCTGCCTTGCGTGTGGACGAATCAACAAATTAAAATGAATCTGTTGAAGATTGAAGAGGTTAAGCCTACACTTGTACCTCCTTTTAAGGGCCAGCAACCCTCCATTCTTCTGCTGAATTGGGGCGGCTACATTCGCCATCGGGGGCTGGTCATTCCCTACCCCTGGTTTGGTGTGCATCGATCTGAGTGCTCCCATGAGCACAGGGGCTGAGGCCAAACAGCCTCGTACGCGTTTGATTGCAGAAACTTTCATACTTCTTTTCTAAGATTAGCAGTTCCAACAAAATTGGCGGCGCAGAAGGGGCGATTGAGGGCGCACCATGTACTTCGTTGCCGGGGATGAACGGAACATTGAGTAGCGCCCTCGGGCTCTTTCTACTAGCACGCATTAGACATTGATGTTGCTTTATTTTGAATGTAAATGGAACGAAAGACTCACAGCGATAGCCGATTTGCCTCCTTGTACTGCGGCCCTCAAGAAAGCTGTCCACCTCGTGTCGTGGGATGCGCCGGGATGTGGTTGCTCGGCGCAGTCACCATGAAGCCACCAGCTTGAACCGGATCATTCTAGTCGCAGCGTGATTCAAGGACATGCATTGAGGGTGCCCACGTGAGGGCCAAGCGTCAAACAGCTCTCTCTGGCGATCTCATTGGCACAGTGCCGTGCCTCGTTCCAGCGTTTCCCAAGTTCTTGCAAAACGGCGGCAAAAATGGCTCTCTCGCAGTTGCTTTCTGTTGCATGTGCTGCTCTCTGTGTGTGGGCTGCAGCGGCAGTGGAACAGCCACTGGTGGACGATTTCAGTCCGACAGCCATGTATGTGCATGATGCAATAGCTGCTGCCGAGCACTTTGACCCTGAACACCGAAGGAACGCCCAGGAAGAGTTGCTGGCTGCAGCTGAACAGACTGTTGCCAACGAAGACCCTGTTCAGAAGCTTGTGTGGCGGGAGCTCTTCCGTTTCAGCTCGATGGTGTACGAGGACGTCGAGGCGTGGGCCAAGATGGGAAACGTTGATCTCGAAGAACACCTCCAGTCTTTGATTAATGCAGAGCACAACCCCTACGAAGAAACGGAGTACTCTGCGGCGGTGAGGGAATGCATGACATCTGAGCTGCGGCTCGACTGGCAAGCAGCCCGTATAGAACACGTTTTTGAACACGCCCTTCGGACATTATCTGTGAACGAGCAGCAAGACCTGGCGGATTTGACGGAGAAATACGAGCCTTTAGCTCGCTTTCTTAATGCGCTGAAGGAGTATTTCGCACGACGTCGAGGCCAGGCCGTCCTCTATCACCGGAAACACCTGTTGGAGATGCTGGCGAACCACGGCGATAAGGCAGCGCCTCAGCTGCTCCTTGCAGCGGAAGACGAAATAAAAGAAAAAACCAAAGTGCTTCTAACTCACATGGAGCGGTTAGAAGACGCTGCACAGCAGTGCTACGAATCCGGCCAGCTGTTCAAGGGTGCCGTTACTTTCATTAGGGGGTTGCATCGCGTGGGATATGAATAGCTGCGAATTTAGTGAAGCCTTTCCACCCTCGAATGTCCAGTTCAGCGCAGCGCAAGGGCGCAGTAGAGAGGTCAAACGGAGCTAGCAAGTATTTCTTCTACTAATGCTGCACTGCAAAGAGTTGCTCACGAGCACCCTGTGAAGGACTTTGGTTTTCAAAAGGCATTCCTTGAGTTCCTGTAGCCGAAGATGCTTTCTGTACATGTGCAACGAAGCGCTGTAAACTCAAGGGCGCGAAGGTGCCTTCCAATGAACGGCAGCTCCTGCTTGAAGGACTTTACTGCAAGACCTCTGCGTCAGCGGACCTCCAAGGACGTGTCGATTTTGATGTCAGGGATGGAACAGGGTTTCTCCTGAATTGGTTTAAAGGGGCAGAGCAGTCTCTGACTCATGCCGCGGGCTTCTGCAAAGCCTGACTGCGACGAGACGTCGCGTTGAAAAGTGATGTTGGCGTTCGCGGGATTTGTTGTTACCGACTTTGAGGGATAAGTGGTGCGTTACAGTGAACGTCATGAAGGCCACCTATCCAAGTCGCTGCCACTACGAGGGCATTCTTGCCGGCAGCTTGGCGGCCGAAACTGTTCGGGGGGGAGGAAGGGGTGCTCTGGGGTCACTCAGTGCTGGCGCAGGCTTCTGCTTCCCCCGTGTTTTATCTCACCTTAGCAGTCCGAACAACTGCGTGATGGAGCAGTGGCCCATTTGGGGCATTGTCTTCTACAGACATATATCGTGGATAGGTTATATTTGACTTTTCGGGGGTCGAAGCTCTTCCCTGAGCTAAAGGCCACCCGGCAGTAGAAGAAATAAATGCCACAGTTTAAGCGCCGCTAAGCATCTGTTTACTTTTTTGATTAGCAAGTAACTGCTACTCATGCGCCCAATACAGTCATAGCCTTATTGCATGTCCAGGCAATTGCGATTTGGCCCCCACTCGCCGGGCCTAATCCTAACCCCCAACGAATGGGGGGAGCTGTTCGCCAATTATAAGCAAGTTCAACATTTTATGGGGAATTTGTAGTCTTCAAAATTGGCACAGCGGCTCTCGCAGAGCTTGCTGTGGCCCTCCGCAAAAGTTGCGGCGCCACACTCTCGTGGCGACGTAATTGGTAGAGTCCAAGTAGTACTCATTATTTAGCAGCAGCATGGATGTGGAGCGACTAAGAACTCCCTTCGACGGCATTTAGTGTCAGCACTATTAGCTCCAAAGCGTTCAGCCTTAATATATAGGGTCGCCGTCACTTAGTGCTCAAGGCACATGCCGTCGTCGGTGAGTTCTTCAGTGCACAGTGGCTGCTTCACGAAAGTATGGCAGCGTGCATACCTGCAAATGCCGCAGCTCAACCGCAAACGACTGCAGCTTCGCAGTCTCAAGGAACAATAGATTCTTTGCTGCCTTGATCATGGTCGGCTGGGTTGGCCTCCAGCGAAACTGCAGCCTGCCGGTTTGGAGGCTGCTGCGGTGCAGCTGCACCGCAAACCAGGGCCGAAGTTGCCGCTGGTTCCATTGTCTTCAGAATTTTGGCGCGCGCATTTCCCAAGACAAGAATTCGGCTTTTAACAGGTGCCTCCGACTGCTCGGAAGCAGCATCCCCTTCAGGACACTTCTGCTGGTTTTGCCGATTCGAGTCTGGTCGGATTTGACTTGCCAATGACTGTGGCTGCTCAGCGCGGCGACAGGCTGTCTGCGGCGCAGTAAAGGCCTTGGGTCGCGACAAAATCTTTCCAAGCTCACTTTCCGTAAAAAGCACGAATGTCAGATACCCATCGCTGCTACTGCAGATTAGAAGCCGGCCATCCCCGCTCCAGCTGCAGTCTGTCATTGGCGCAAGGTGGAGGCGATGCAACACTGCGAGTGGGCGGCACAGAAACTGCGTGTCATACAATAAGACACTCCCATCAAGTGTACATATTGAGTAGACGAATCTGGGGAAGACCATGTCCTGAGACACGCCGCTGTCCGTCTCAGAGCGGTCACCCTTTGGAGTGGAAACTGGATCTGTATCGACATTCATGCTTTCCTGTTGACTCTCTTGTCCTGGCTGTCTTTGCTGCGCTGCTTCCTGTGCAGACTGTGGAGTTGCTGGGTCCCCGGGAGCCTTGCACGGGCTCGCCAGGGGCACCATGTGTTGCCGATCTTCAGCTCGAAAGAGCCAAGACCGGGTCTTCGCATACTGTTCTTCCAGCGCGTTGGCGGCGGGCACTTCGCTGCCTGCTGCTGCTGCTGCACTTGCAGCGTTTGCTGCAGCAGATGCCAAGCCTTTCTTCTGAAGGCCCGGCGGCACTGGGAGGGGAGCAAAGAAACATGGATTAAATCGCACGCAAACGGCTGGCCCGCTCTCGAGCCTGCAACGCCACACAGGAGCAGCCCCTAAACGAAATCTTACAGAAGCATTAGTTACAAAGAGTATCGGCGTTCAACTTTGACAGGAGTTCCAGCTGCAGCACCTCTGAATTCAGTGAAGCCGGAAATGCTGGAGAAGCGGCAGTGGGAGGCATTCTGTTACTGCTCACCTGTGGGTGACAAAAGGAGATGTGCTCTGCTGGAGCAGCCGACGATGAAAAGCATATGCAGCAAAGAAAGACTCCCCAGCGTTGTGGGGGAGACCAGCAGCCGCGGCCTCTTGGGCGGAGCCCGCAGTGGAGTTGGCTGTGCTGCTGGCCCGCGGCGAAGCACTTGGAGAGGCTGCAGCCTCTGCAGCCTCCGCAGTTGGAGTTGGGCTTGGGTCGCTTTCCCCCGGCAGAATCTGCTGCACCCCAGCAGGCGTGACCAGCAAAGAACCATCAGGTGACCAGTCAAGGCGTCTGAAGAATGAAGGCAATTGGTTTTCCGCCAAAAACAACTGACGCAAAGGACCACTGCGGGAAGAGGCTCCTGCGCCGTTTCCCGGCGTTGCAGCGGCGCTTTGCTGCTCATTCTCCTTGTCCTCCTGCGGGAAGCAGCAGCGACACGAGGACGAAGATAAACAACAGTCCGTGCACAAGTGACTAAAATACTTTTCCGCTTTGCACAAATGACTAAAATACTTTTCCACTTTGCTTTCATTGCACAAGAAACAAGAAAAGAAAAGACTATTCACTGACTTGTGCGCAATCCGCATCTCGCGCTGCCCCCGGCTTCGCCCAACACTTTATGGCCGCTTCGCAGCGCCACACAGGCGCCCGACCCGCAGCAGCCGCTGCTGCAGCAGCTGCTGGAGCCCCCCCTCCTGCAGCAGCATTTTCTGCAGCAGTTGCAGTTGGCTGCGTTTGCTGCTGCGCTGTGGCCGAGACCAAGGCAGGCTGGCCGCCTGGTGGGACTCGGCGGGACCACAGGCGGACTCTGAGTCGCAAATAAACGAGCAAAAGTCCCAACTTAACATCAAAAACTGAGAAAATGCATTTTCTAATGCATCTTCCTTTCAACTATCTACCACAAGCGGACTCTAAGTCGCAAATAAACACGCAAAAGCCCCAACTTAGCCTCAAAAACTGAGTTTTCTGATGCATTTTCCCTTCAACTGCCTAATTTTTGTTGTACTGGCGGCTCCAGAGAGCAGCCAGATTCACTGGAGGCCTTCTTAACTCTTTTCTGTCTACCCAGGAATGCCCTTGGCTGCCTACGTTTGGTCGCTGCTCTGGGAGGCAATGAACTTCCCCAGCGGGTCAAAGGCAACACCCTGAATGATATGAGAATGCCCCTCTAAAACGCGTCCAGATTTGGCCCCGAGGATATCTGCAGAAAGCAGGATATTTCAGGTGTCACTACACTCCAGAACGCAAGCCAAGGAAGAACTGAAGTTAACCCCCCGAGCAGTTCAGTTGGGACTTCACGGAAATCCCAAAATGCATTACCTCCCGTGACATCGCACACAAATATTCGCCCGTCTTCGCAGCCTATGGCCAACTGCGTGCCAGAGGGGGCCCACGCTAAAGTGTTGATCGCATCTGCCCTCCTGCACAGCAATTTAAACTTCGTCAAATGCACATTATTTTCTAAAAGCAACTGCTGACATGTTCAGCGCAAGTTAACATGAAATGGGACTGAATTCATAAATGCGTGCACTGTATATACACTGAAATTGTAATTAAAGAAATGAAAGCCGGAGAAGGGTTTTTGCACATGTACTTAATGTATGTATCTTTGTGTTGGCTGTCGCTTGGCATAGAAGCCCTCTGTTCGTACTTAAGGGGGAACTCCCCTGCGCTGCTGCTAAGCCCCGCAAGAGCTAGAGGCTTTAACTGACAGAGCTGGAGGACCATCCATTTGTGCTGCTCCTGTAATCATATTTTTAATATAATTTGCATGTCTTAACTGACCTTAAAGATGATGTGCGAGACCACCACTCATGGTACTGGAGAAACGAAGCGTCAACGCCGAGGGGCACTGAGTCGGGCTTGTAGCTCCGCACCCAGAGGCAGACAGCGTGGTCTGAAACCGAAACAAAACTGGATTTCAACTGGAGAAATAACTTTTCTGAAAGGGACTAGGCGAGTAGCAGGGCTGTTGCTTCCTGCGCAGTGCCGCAGTGTACGTACCGCTCCCGCCAGAAGCAAGAATGGTGCCATGAGGATTCCAGCGTACGCAATTCACTTCTTTCTCATGCCCCACAAGTCGAGATATACAAGTCACTGCAAGCGAGCCGGAGGAGAAGTCCGCGTTCCAAAGCTGCAGAAACAGACAAGTGCTGCTTCTCACAGCCTATGGCTTTCTCAACTACAACTGCTGCCTCAGCAGTTCCTAACATCTGCCACTTTCTTGACTAGAACTGCTGTCTTAGCTGCCCCAATGGTTCAAAACCACCGCGAGAATACAGACAGAGACAAAGAAATAAAGATGTTTAGTTTTGCTGCACTTGCTGCAGTGTGTGCCCCACGTGTATGAACTCGTCGGCCCCCGCAGTGGCAATGCGGTACTGCAGCTTCTGCTGCTCGTTGTTTGTGGCATCTGCATCATCTGCTGCAGCGGGGGGCCCCTGGGCGGGCTGCACGTCCACTGAGTAGACGCGGTCTGCGAGGCGGTTGTTCTTGCAGTGCCACAGGACTTGGGGGAGAAAGACTTGAGGCATTTTGTGGGCAGTGGTGAGTTAGAAGAAGAACTGCGGCCACGACAAGACCCTGGGGCGTTCTTCCGCGTCCATACAGCCAGTGTGCAAGGCAGGGACCACTTCGACAGTCCAGTTAGCTTCAGATGTCTCTCTAGAGGCCCCCTGGCCCCCTCTGCTGCTGCAGTCTCAGAGCAGCAGCATCTTAGTCGGATTCTGCTCCAGCTGGGGGGCCCTGGCTGCTGGCTCCCCCGCAGCAGCCGCAGCAGACGCCTCGGGTGTTCAAAGTGCTATGCATGCCGCTCTTAGGGGCTACACTGCTTGCTCGAGTGCATCATGCTTGGCCTTCGGTCTACTGGCGCGCGCAGACGCAATATTCTCACGTTGCCGTAGCTTTCTTCTGGACCTTCTCCCTCACATTTCATCATTAAAAAAATAAAACATAAAATGGGACTAGGGAACACGGGATTCGGCAACAGGCCAAGCTTTGGGGCTGCTCCGCGCTGCACTGGAGGCGTAGTGTTTCTTGGGGTGGTTGACGCTGCCACCAGGAGCTGATGTCCTCTGATGTCTGCGGGGCACTTAATGGAGTTCCGACGAAATCAAATATGTTTTAAAGGGAGTGGAGCACTTATTTCAAATTAACAGAGACAAACAGCGCATTTTTCCGCTCAATTCGCGCTGCGCAGCGACTGCCCACCCCTCAGCGGGGCTTGTGTACCATCCTTCGTATTCGGCACTTCAACCCGCCAACTATTTAAAAATAGTCAAAGGCGCAAAACTTCCGACAAGTTCACCGTATGACAACATGGTTTACTTAGAAAATGCACATCTGTGTGGTTTTACGGCCAGACATGTTGTTGGCGCTGTAATTGTGTTCCACCTTTGCATCACGCGGCTTGTCGAAGTGAAATGCTGTGCTTAATTACCGGAGGTGTGGCACGTCTATGAAATATATAATATGAATGACTAATTTGTCTGTCTGTATGGTCCGTCTGATAATGTGTGGAATCCTTCCAAGCAGAAGGAGCTTGCTCCTGATCCACCAACTGTGGAGAAGCTCCCCGGGCATGTGATTACGGACGTGCTCATTCGCCATTTCAGTTCTTGGCCACTATTCCCTTAACAAAATCCTTTGTAAATAGCTAGGCATTCCTCATTTCCTCTTGTACCATAATTCACTTCCTGGTGCATAGTACGTAGCAGTGACCGCAGGTCTTATTCATTGCCGGGGGCCACACGTCTAGGCACAGAATCTTGCAGCGTGCTGGGAAAGCTTTTGTAGGGGAAATATATCAGCCACGGTCACTACCGAGGGTACGGCACGCGGATAATGCAAAGAGAGATCTGGCGCTCTCAAAGAGGAATCGCGACGCGGGAGCTGAAAGGTTTCGCAAAGCAGTAATGCCTTAACCAGCGCACCACATGGATAGCACAGAGTGAAATCTGATGTTCTCAAAGAAGAAACGTGACAGGGGAAGTGGAAGGCTCCGCAAAGCACCACAATACTGGCCGCAGATCAACACTCATTGGGGCAACATATGCGATTTTTTTTGCTGGATTCAAGAAAATTTTGTCCCCAGATAGATGAATAGGGGGTCGTAGCTCCGCATGTAACCCTTTCAGGAAGAGAGCATCTCCAAAGTTCCGCTCCATGGGCCTTAGAGTACTGTAGTTCTGTTATAACTAGACTGCACAAGTTTGGTAGCTCCGTCTTCAAGCTCTTGTAAACTTTTGGAGACAACTAATGGCTTCTCTAGTGATTTGAAATGTTCATAAAGCATTCAGGGCTATCTTGAATAAGTTCAATCCCGGATGTTGTTGCGGCTGCTCTTGCAGGCCCTTCCACTATTGCTTTTATGCCAGCTGTTCTCATTTCTGCCGTTGTGGCAAAGCTCCTCACCTACCGAGTCACCATTGCATGTGGCCAACAGCTTGGAATATGCATTTTAGTAGACAGATATGTTTACTACATTGCAGACAACTGGATGTTTTACTTGATTTATCGCTGTGTTGGGCCTTGCCAAATATGTACATGCAACGCGTTTCTAATCGTGTTGGTAACTCTTTTTGTGTACGCCGACAACGCTTCTGTGTAAGGTTAGGTGAGACTTTGTGATCTTTCAGCTAAGTTTGCAAAAATGGCCAGGTTAAAAAAACCACTACTCCTCTAATTAGGCTTTTTACTGAAAAAACATACTGGCACTGAGTGTTGCAATATTTCGGGTTGTTCTTGCGCTGTACCACGTATTACAGGGGTGCAGCTGAGGAAACCTTTCGTTTAAGGGATCGTAACCAACCATAACAATGCTTGGATATTCATAAGCACAAGAGGCAACCAATGACTCACTGCTGCTAGTTCTAGCAAGCAGCAACTTCAACAAGCTTCCGGCGAGTCTGAGCCCACTGACACCTTCTAGCAGCGCAGGAGATTTTACTTCGAAGCGGACTTAAAAAAGGAAGCACGTGGCATTATTTTTGAGACCGTCATGGTCCTAAGCAACTTGTAAAGGGAGCTCACGTCGAGCCCGCAAAACTGCGACGCTTCGTGCATCAAGTTCATTATTTTGCAGCGACGTAACAACAGGGAGAGAAGCAAACGAGCCTCAAACCACTGTCGTTGCCTTTGAAAAGAGAAAAGAAAGAAAAAAGCCTAACTGGAGCTTCTGCATTCGCACTTGGTTCAAACTCCAACAGACCGCAGAACAGAAGGGCGGCATCTCATGCTACGAGCAGGAAGTGCGTAGTTGTAAGAAATGAAGCAACAGCTCACGAAAACCGAAAAGATCATTATTATAAGCGGATGAAGTTGATCCCAGATTAGCTACAGACCGAGCTGCAGGAAGAGCTGTGAAGTCTAAAGGCTTGCGTATTACGACGAAGTATTGCCGAACTGACTCGCAGACGTGATAAAACCAAAGCCAGTGCTTCAGAAATAACTAGCACAAGTAAAGGGACATACAGAGAATCTTGAGAATGAGAACCTCTAGAGCTCCACTGAGCACTTTGTGGATCACGCGTTACAGCGAACACTGCCAAATGCGCAGCTCCCTCGACCAATACTGCTTCGAACACATAACGGCATATTGCCGGGCTCATGGAAAGCAGGAATTAACGACCTAGAATTCGGCCAGTTTTTTCAAACAAAAGCGTAACGGCTGTGACATAGACGTCTTCACTTCCATGCCACACTCTGCGCCCTCCAGCCTCGGCTGCACCGCATAAACTCTCCCAACTGCGCACTTGCGCTGCACGACTCCACATTTTTAGTCATTACGTCGGCTCGTTAAAGCGTTACCTCAAATGAAATTAGACCTTCCAGCACCACTGCAGCCACGCCATTGACTTTCGAGACATGGTGCAGCCACAAAGTGTCCCGCGTCAAAGACAACAACTGGTTAATGGGCAAATATAGCCATCATACTGTGCGAGTTTCTCCACTTTCTCCTCCTAACCAAACATGAAGGCCGATTTATACGGCGCCATATAGTTAAGAGTGGAAGCCAAGCGAGCACCTGTATGATGCGGCCGCATGCGCTGTTGCAAATATTCATGTTTCTGCAAAATGGATAGCTCCGCTGTGTGCCGTCTAGAAAAAAAACGCTATAAATAACAGACTACATTGCGACTCATTTAGTGTTTCTTATTTAGTGCTGGATTAAGTTCACTTCATAAGTAGTAGTCTGCTGTTGCTGTGGGAGCAGACACCTAACTTCTTTTCTTCATACCCAGCGTCGCCAGAGGCAACCGTTCGATACTTTCACCATATGCATGTTGAATTCCAAAGGAACCTAAATTTTCCACTTATTCGCTTCCCGGCGCTGCTGGCGAAGCCCCGGCGGGCTGATGGTTCTTGCAGGCCCTGCCGTTCGTCAATGATAGCAGAATACCTCTGAGGAGCTCCGGTTCACACAACGGAGGGTATCAGGCTTGCCTGCAGCAAAGGGGCTGCTAGGTTTGGCGATGACCCTCCCTCCGTTGTCTGCGGCTTCACCGCTGAGCCAAACGAGTGCAGGTGTTGTTGTCGGCATAGTGATCGTATTGCTCTTCCACGCAAGTCTGTTTGTCGGGGCTTACTACTTCTTCGCCACTCATCTGTATCGCGACTATGAGGTGCAGCGGCGCTCAGTGCAGCACCTTTTCTGTGCGACCTTCACCGCTTGCGTTTCCATGCTGCAGCTTCTGCTGCTGGAGCTGCTGCACATACTGAACCCGCACGTGCGCCGCATTGTGTGGAACTTGGACCTTATTTGCGTGCTTCTGTTGCTGTACGTGGTGCTGCCAGTCTCAATAATCCACAATGCGTTGGCGCCCAGTGCGGACTCGTTTCGAATTGCTGACTGGGCCGCGAAGTTCCCCCAAATGCAGCGGCTGCAGACGCGGGCCGCGGCCTTGTCGAGGCTCGCAGCCGTCTCCACTTTGGCCTCCTCAAGCGGCAATGGAGTCTTGTCGAAGCTCGGGAAACTGTCTCCGCGGTGGCGCGAGTGGGTTGCAGTGGCAGTGTGCAGCGCCGTGGTGCTGCCTTTCCTGTGGTTCTGCTTTTGCCAGTCAGGCCGGCTGCTGCACCTCGACTCGGAGGCCCTTGCGGAGCTGTCTTACACGGAGCGGCTGCTGGCCTACGTGGGCGTGTGCGGCGTGACTGTGGTGTCTGCCTTGGCTGGCTTCGGCAGTGTGAACTACCCCTATCGCAACGTGGCGACTTTCTTGTACCCGACTACGCAGGCCGAAGTGGCCTGTGTGGAGCAGCGGCTGCTGCACACTCTTAACCTCGTGAGCGAAAAGAAAAAGGCTCGACTTCACCTGCAGGCTTCGCTGAACCCCGCCCGAGCTCGCCTGTGGCCAACGCCCACCTCCGGCGTCTTGTCGCCGGCTCCTGGCTGTGCGCGGCCCCACCAAGTGCTGGGCCCTTCGACTTCGCGGCGGTGCCGCAGCGCCTCGCGGAGGCACCGCGGGAACTTCGGAACTGAAGCGGCGAACCCCGCGGACAAAATCTACAGCGGAGGGAACTCCGACGAAGAACAAGAAGGCCCTGCTGAGTCTGCTGCGTCGCTGGGCGGGTCCTTGAAAGGAGCTCCCGAAGTGGAAAGGCACCTCGACGGACCCGAAGGCGGAGTGCAGACAGGACTGCTGACACGGCAGTTCAACTGGCTCCGCGAATGGATCGAGAAACTGCGCGCTTTCCTCACTGGGCGACGCCTGGAGCAGCAGTGCCAGAAACTGCAAAATGAAATAGAAGCCCTCGAAGAACTTTCGCGGGAACTTTTCGTCGGCCTGGACGATCTCGTCCACTCCCGCGCGCAGGCGCTCTACGGGCGCACTTGGCTGGGGCGACTCAACAACATGCTGGGCTGGGGCATGACAGCAGTGTGTGTGTACCGCGTCTTCATGAGCGCTGCAAACGTCCTGCTAGATCGAGTCAGCACCACAGACCCAGCAACGAGAACGCTTGAGTTGCTGCTGCACCTCCTGCACGTGCCAGTTGACATCACGCTGCTGACGCCCTACCTGTCACTGGTACTGTTGGGGTGGATCATAGCGCTCACAATTCGAGGTTTCTTCGAGAAGCTTCTCACTGTATTTCGCTACATGTCCACGGCGGTGTCAAGTAATGTCTTCGCTCTCGTCATGTCTGAGGTTATGGGAATGTACTTCTCCGCATGCCTCCTGCTTACACGAGTTTACCTTCCGCAGTCCTATAGGGACGCATTGGCGCAAGTTCTGGCGCCTTCCCTGGACTTCAGGGCTTTCCACCTGCACTTTGACCGCGTATTTGTTCTTTCGTCTTTTGCGTGCGCGATATCTATCGCTATTACTCATCGTCGCACAGCCGAGAAACTCAAAAGCCTTTAGAGCCTGTTAAGGGTCTTTACGGTCAAACGTTATTTTGTGCCTGTTCGCACTGAAGGGAGCCAAAGTTCAGAGCTGCTTGCTGCGGAGGTTCATTTCTAGTATGGCATTACCTGAAGGCTCGACGAACTTTCTCAGTGCTGCTGCAGTTGCTACTTTGCATGTAGTATTGGGGTCTGGATTGTCAATTCATTGATGCAGTTTTTCTGTAACAGCACCATATCACTTGCACTAGGAGTCGCAGCAAGTGCCTCCCTTTTACAAAATAATTCCAAGTTATGGGTACGTTGAGCAGAACACTGCATCATTAGGCGTCTTACTCTCGTACAGATGTATTTAAAGGACCATAACGGTATGAGGAAGGCAACTCGAGCGGTGTAACTTCTTATCAACTGAAGCGGCTAACCAAGCGGGAGCTGACCAGCAAGCGGGAGCTGACTGACATGTGCGCTGGCTTTGTGGAATGTAACGACGACTGTAACCAAAAACTACTGTAAAGAAAAACTATGTTAGATACGAAGCAACACACAAAGCCACGTAAGCAGCAAAGCATCTCCAGGCATTTTGCCGGTGGCCTGTAATTGCACAGTCTCAGACATGGATCCATTAAACAACTTGAAAGTGATGTTCATAAGAGCGCCAATGCCTATGCTGGCCTCTCAAAAAAGCGGCTCCACGCACAGAGATCCGGAATTCTGATCCGCGGAGTGAGACACAGTCTATGAAAAATCAACTCCAGCGTTGACTATTTCCCTCGTGCCAACTACACCACTGCTCCCTTATTTATCAACCAAGTGGTACTTTTGGGTCTCGCTCCCCAACCCTTGTCCCTACTTAGTGGATGCTCCGGGAGGGCCACCTTCAATCGAGTCCGGATCTTGCTTGTCCTCACTCGGTGCACTGCTGGGTGACGATGCCGCAAAGGCAGGGAGCTGAAAGGGTTGGAAATTCGTATCCGCTTCGGGCTTCCAGAAGCTGGGCAAACGGCTGTTGATGTCCCTGTCTAAGGGATCGTCAAAGTGGGGAGTTTTTAGCAGCAGAGCCGGGCGTACTGACGAGTGCACTTTGCTTTGATGCTTTGTCCAGAATGACCCAAAACTCTGTCGGTGACGGAGGGCATCTCTAGCGAGAAGCGCACGGCCTTCTTCATCCCACGTTATGTAATCTTCTGCTTTTAGTAGCAGTTCGCCGCTCGGGTGATGCTGGAAAGGAGACTTTCTCCTGAATGTCAGAAGTCTCTCCGGAGGGCAGAAAAGCTTGATTGCCTCGACGGGGCACTGCACGTCGACCTTCAGTGTCAAGTCTGAGAATAATCAGTGCTCCCAAGGCAGTACTCGTGTGCTTAGTCACTTTGGAAGGCAACACACGCCACTCTTGCTAAAACAACTTTTCACGCGGAAAATTGGAGATTTCACGCGCTGACACTGTCATAATTGCATATTCACTGCACAGTTGCTCTCGCTCAAAGGGCGCGGAAGGGAGAAAACGTACCAACAACCATGCTAACGGTTCCCGCAAGATTTTCTTGCTTGTCCCTTGCAAGGATAGCATTCGTCTCCGCCTCCCTTTGAGCATGAAGCTTTCGCATCCCTTCGTGTTCAATCTTATTCTAGATACACACAGAACAGCGCTTCCATCACCACCTACTTTCGCCCTAGGACCGGCACTCAGCCAAACCAGCACCTTTCTAGAGTGTTAAATCGTGTGAATTTTGTATAAATGTGAGAGGCGTTCCGTACTTTCTTAGCAATCGCTTCGAGTAGTTTCTCCATATCATTTCGAAGGCACTCGCCTTCTGCTTCCGCCTCTGCCCTCGCTCGCTCCCGCAGAGCTCGGGACTTCTCCTGTGCCGTCAAAACTACAGCTGCAGCATCGTCTTCAGCATCCTGGAGTAGGCGAATCGCGGAACGGCTATCCACTTCTATTGATTGAGTCGCCCTGGACAGCGGCTGTGGTACGTCTGAGCGAATGAAGCGGCGAAATATAGCCGAAGCCTAGGAGCGCAACTCCTGAGTTATTCCATGAGCTACTTTATGCTCTTCCAACTACTAAGGAGCATGAGCAGAAAGGAAAGGACGGCAAAAGTGCTACAAGAATGAGTAGTAGAAAAAATGAATAGTGAAGCAAAGGCCTACAGCTTACCTGAGAATAGTTGAGTGATGCTTAAGGGCTGCAAACTCAAGCCACAACAAGAGACAGGCCCTTCATCAAGCCTCGTTGAATTTGAACGCTGGGTGTCACCCTCGCAGGAAACGGCGTTTGAAAGCAGGCCGGGAGAATCTGCAGTTCTCCCATGTGATGCAGCTGCAATGAACACCGGCGTAGGAAAGGACTGCGTGTCCCTGCTATTGATGTGATTCGCCAGGCTGCGCTGACTCGCCGGGACCCTCTCGTTAGGTTCGTACGGAAGTGAAGAAGCGGCCTCCCGGAATTTCTGCAACGACTGGAAGTGCTGCGGCTTGTCTGCTACTTGTGTTGCATACTGCCCAGATGGATTCGCTTTGATCTTGACAGGCAGAGGAGGGGCGCCAGGCCTCGAAGCAGCAACCAGAAGTGCCGCCGGGCGCGCGGCTGATGAGCTGGCGTATAAGACGTTGGGCCCCAAAGGCTGTAGTTGCGGATGGCTGTTTTGGAGCCGTACAGGGTGAGCATGTTCTGTTCTTTGATCTGATGCTCCAGTATTGCATAACTTCAAAATTTGCCGATTAGCATCGATACTAGCCGCTGGAGAAACACGGGCACAGCTTGGCACATGAATAGGGTGAATGGCGCCGGTCGTTCGTTGCAATTGTGGAAACCTCGAGGGAGGTGACGCGGCGTATAAAGGTAAAGAACGATAGCAGTTGCCTGAGAAAATCGAGGGAGGGAGTCTGGCCTCCCTTTGAGGAGAAATTCCCGGTCGAGTGCCTCTGGTGGCGTAGGCCTGGACTGTTTGTGGTCTTCCTTGGTGTTGCTGTAATCCCTGAACATTTGGGAACAGGCTTACAGCCTTGACCTCGCCGCTCGTTTTAACTAAACCCTGCGCTTCTTGGGGAGCCGACGAGCTGGGAATGCGAGGCATTGCACCCGGGTGTGGTTCTTTCTCTGCCATCGGGTAGCTTGGTCCTTATCTCCTAAAGTAACACTGCTAGCTGCTTACCGAACAGGCATAACTTATGCATAAGTAATTGTTAATCCCGCACGCCCCATATGGCGGTTTGTCCGAGTGGTTAAGGAGGTGGACTCGAAATCCACTGGGCTCTGCCCGCGCAGGTTCGAATCCTGCAGCCGTCGGTTTTTCATGGGCTCGCTGCATTCAAGGACGGCTTCAGTTTTGATCTCGCCAAAGAGCGTCAAACGAGAGGTTTGGATATAGAGTGCAAGAAAAGCCCTGGAGAACTACGCTTGAGCAGCCAAGCGAGCAGCTGACCAATGGACGAGATGTGGGAGCACGGGACGTCACCTTGTTCCAAAACAATCTGTCAATTGCTCTGCACTCTGCATATACAAGAAAATATGTGGCAGTACCGGCAGCCGAAAGTCTCTCCCGGAAGAAACAGTGTGACGATTGCAGCTAGAAGGGCGCATGCTTCTGGGGGTCGGCGGCACTGTTATTGGACTTACGCATCATTTCACGAGGAGCAACGCTTAATATTCGACATTGAAGTATATTTCTGATATGGGATGGAAGCTCAGTTTAGATGTTAGTTGGTGTGACATAACATAGAACACCCCTCGATTTTCCATATGGCTAATCTACACTATGATTCAGAACGCTCGCTACAGGGTCTCTTCATGAACGCTTCTGCAACAGTATTTGAGCTGAAAGCAGTTGAGCACAGGGGTTGGTTGAATATATCGAACTATACTGCAAGAAAATCAGTCTGTGAAGAAGATTAAGCTTTCTTGAGGCAAGATCTTTGAATACACTCGGAGCAACGGTGAGCGGCCCATGTGCCATCAAGGATAAATAAATCCACCATTGGAATGCATCTACGCTATGCAAGAACTTTCTTTTTCGTGAACTTCTTCCGTGCCGAAGCCCTTAAAATCGGTCGTCAGTTGCACAGTTGGTTGAAACACAAACGAAGATTCGATTCCCTGTGAGACTGTGGACCATCTAATCAATCGTTTCCGGGTGGCTCTTGCCCACGTATAAGGGAAAGATGCTTAAACGAATGAATAGTTAGTGGCAGCCAGATCTTCATAGCGGCGTCTCTTCGACCTCTCAGACATTAGCATTGGGGAGGGAGAGACTCCGTATGGTGTAGTTGCCTCCACAAGGTCACATAGCTCCACAACAAAACTAAATTCACGCGGCCATCCCATTGTGCCAATGCGAATCTAGGATTCCCTGCAATAAATGCCCTCCAATAGTATAAATAAGTTCAGTTCAGCGTGCGCAAGCACTTTCCCAAAACAAAGGATAGCAGCGCCACAGCACTGCAAGCGCTTGGGCGTTGGTTGTGAAGAGCAAATTTGGAAAATAGTGCATGTAAGAAGTCGCACGACTAGTAAACTGAGGAGGCGAAAAGCGCACGCCCGTGAATCACATCTTGGAAGCTGTAGCGGGTCGCAGCGTTTGTCGCTGAATATGTACAGAAGCCCAGTGCTAAAATATTTCATGCTCTACGCGAAAACTACCGCATCACGTTTTCGGGACGGATTCCCGCACAAGACCAAGTCAAAGTCCCTCCAGCCCCACCGGAAGTGCTCTCCCCAAAACTATTGCAAACAGCATCAAGCTGCTGTGATCAAGCGACTCGCCTGTGAGGCTGCAATGCTACTAAGGCAAATGGCTTTACCGTATCTATGAAGCAGCTGCTTCAGCTAGATGCTGATTGGCTTCGTTGTCAAGCTTCATGGCAACAAGGCCCTCTTGCCTGCTGACAATGAAAGCTAACTATCTGTTATTAACACCTCAATGTGCATATTCACCTTCTGCCGAGCATTCAGTTTTTGTCTTGCTATTTTGGAGGTTCGATTCCCCGGTCTTCGGTAGAACCACCAGCCCTCGCCATGCTCGGTCCTTCTTATCCGTGCGCCACATTGCTCGAATCCTCGCAGTTGTTGCTGAGGAACAAATCACAAACAGAAACACGACGTAACTTTCATCTTGTGAAACTAAGAGCTGTTAGGTTGATTGTGACGGGCAACTCTTTCAGGCAGACCTGCAGGCGTGATGGCCCCAGCTAGTCCTACATGTGTTGTCCGTGTCGGACGCCTCGTCAACTTCTGTCTGTCCTGTTGCCCCTCTTGCCACACTAGAGTTAGTTGTAAAGGCTGCAACAGAGCTCTTGCTCCCAGAATTTGTGCAATAAGACGTAGTAGTGGCCGCAGTGTCACAAGCAAAAGCTACAGATGCTGGCAGATTGCCAATTTCCGGTTTGGAATTTTGCTGATTCATGCCAACCTCTTGAGTAAGACAAGGATTCTGTCTAAGACTCTCAAGGTGGCTACTTCCGCAGTGTGCAGGTGTCTCATCAACGTCAGCTGCATTGCTTCGTAGTTTCCGTTCTTGAAGTGTCTTGCACATCGTATTCTCCTTCTCAAGAGTAACTCCTTCGCAATTCCCAAAAGGCACCATAGCATCAGACTCTTGATGCTTCTTTGGAGGTACCACGGCTCGTGGTTGACACTTGGAAAATGCGTCGACGCATCTGATACCAACGATTTTCGTCTCCGAATTCATGTCCAGTGCAGGACCTACCGATTCCCTTTCGAAATGCGCGTGTAGCGTTTCGCTTGAACCCTTTTCAGAAGAGGAAAACCTAGTTAAAGGAGCACTGCTCCACGCCAAATTTCTCTTTGTGAGTCCTTCAGAAGATTTAGTGACCGCGTCGCGATGGGGAAAAGTAGAAGAAGATGGGGCAACATCCATGGAGAGGCTGGAGAGAGGCTGTGGTTTGCCAGGCTGCTTTCCTCCTCTCAGGAGAGCAACGCACCACGGCCAGGCACGAGTATGTGCACTTTGGCTGTCTATTTCGTTAACAAGACTGCCGCCTGTTTCGCAAGATGTACTGTCTTTCCCACTTTCCCGTCTGCTACCACTACTCTGTACGGTTCCAGAACTAGCAATCTGCACCTGTGAAGCTGCTGGTTCTATGTTGGCCAACTGGCTCTTCGTAGTCAATCGAGGATACATGCCACAACGTGAAATGCCCGGCGTTCCAGACTTATGCGTTTTCTGGTTCCCCTTCCCATTCTGTAACTTGGCCTTCCAGAGCTGCAACGCCTCCCACTGGAAACCAAGGCTTTGTATTTTAGATTCGCGTTCTTGCTCAATAGACTTGGCCGCTAATTCAAATGCATAGAGGGAGTTGTATGCTGTACTTCTGCAGAAGAGAAGGTCTCTCCCAGAGATGAAGTCGTTGTTGTCGACGTATTTCTGAAGCACGCGCATTGTTTCTTCCTTACTTTTGAACGCTGTTGCCCCAAACAATCGAGGGCAGTATTTTGGCAGGTCCTCCAAGCGTGCCACAACAGGGAAGCCGAAACTGAGAAGCAGTTGCATAGCATAACGTCGGTGGCATATGGCTTTGATGGACTTTGTGGAAAGCAACTGCGCATCCATATCTTTGTTAAGCTGGCTCACCTTTGCCACTCCTCAACTCTGTTTAATTCTCCATGCAACCACCTTGTCAACCCTGCAGATGACAGACTCACGTGAATGCCCAAATCCGGTGGTGGTTTGTCTGTCTGTCTGTCTGTCTGTCTGCGTGTGTGTGTGTGTGTGTGTGTGTGTGTGTGTGTGTGTGTGTGTGTGTGTGTGTGTGTGTGTGTGTGTGTGTTTGTGTGTGCGTGTGTGTGTGTGTGTGTCTATATCTTCCGATGACTGAACATACATGTGTCTGATGAGTCCACTACTAATACTGGTCTTTCAAGAAGCCCAAATGCTAGAGAATCCTTGGCAGCATTTAGTAATCGACGTGCAGAGCTGTAAAAGGGAATGCGACTACACATTCTTGTCGCCGTTGCCTGCAATTCAAGCATTGCAGAAAGACATACGCCTGATATTTTCTGTCGTTGTGTACGTGTGCTGTGAAGTGCTCTTTCCAGTAGGTGAGAACCTTATGAGACGAATAAGTGCACTTAAAGCCACTTACGGAACGAAGCATGCCTTCAATAAGATGAAGCGTGGATCCGCTTGCAATCCAAGAGGCTTTCGTGAGCTCTCTTAAGCCCGTTGTAAACCATTGGCCTAGCCAGTCAACGACTAAAGAGCCGTTGGGGGCCTCATCAATTATTTTTTGAGCGAATGGCTTCTTTCTAATCCACGTTAACCACCGTGAAGCGTCTGCATCGTACGCACATTAAAGTTGGTTCCTGAACTCGAAGACACACAAACTGCTTATCCGTTAAGGCAACGACAAACGCACGAGGCTTTCCACACCTTCCATATTTATAGGGGAGTGCGCAAGGAAAGGTATAAGGCCTCCATTTCTCGAGAACAAGAACTGCACCAGCAGCTGAGCATGAGGCTTTTGCCGTATAGAGTTCAAGTACGGCGGCACAATCACATGGTCCGCCTCTAAGACACGCTGAAGGTTGTGGAGGCCGCGGAACGCAGTAGCTACTTGCAACACCTGCAGAGAGCCACCAACGTACTTGCAACCTGAAAATGCCTTGAATGATCCCGACATTCTTCTGTGCTGCATCTTTACTAACGAATTCAAGAAAAGTGTGCGCTTCGTGGTAGTGATGCAATGGAAATTCGAACAAATTACCTGCATTGCCTGGCATGAGAGGCCGGTGAACGATAGTTGCCCTTCGGTGTTTGTGTGCAACGGTGACTCTGCGCACATCAAAAAAACAGAACCGCAAAAATGGCAGAAATTCGTGGAACCAACAGCTCAACAACGTCTCTATGTAGCTTTCTTTGTGGGTATTCGAAGTCCGCGTACCTTCAATCACAACATTTAGAACTTTGCTCTGCCTCGTGTAAGCGTCATGGGGTACAAGTGATTGAAAAGAGCGCTGAAGACCATCCGGCATCGTAAGGAAAATAAGAGGATGGCAGTATTATTCCAAATCGCAGACTGAAAATAACTTTTGCTACGATGCCTCAATAGACAGAATCCTACTGACTTGTATAGATTTGTTGCCAAGCTGCACCACGTAGTGGAAGACGGTGTCATAAAGAGTGTTGCGAAGCTGCCGCACCAAGTCCTCATGGCACTCTGGAGACCTTTCAAAGAGCAAATGGAGTCTTCCTTTCGGTGAACCAAGAAATACTTCAGCAGCATCAAAGTCTTCTGACCTGAGATAGGTTCCTCTACAGAGAACCCAGTAGGCCAAACAGATGCGAATGGTATAAGCAGCCTGCAGAAGTAAAAAAAAGTAAAAAGTATGTACAATAGAAGAAGACTTAAAGGTGTGTGGATTCTCAAAAGCGTTGAAGAAGCACAATGCCTGTGAAACAAACAGGCCACTTAGTCACATACCTCCACTAAGTCGCATTCTAGAGCTGCTTTCAGCTGCTCTTTGACAACTGACAGAGCCTCTTTGTTCTTATTTTTATGCTCGACCTGTCCGCTGTGCAGCAGTGATTCTTGAAGCTGCTTTGAAGAAACCCCTGTGATACCAAGAATCTCTGGATTAAATTTGTCGGATAAAGCGCCTACGAGAAAACAGAAGATAGTCAATACCACATATTTGTGGCAAGCCTGCTGCACTGAGGCCTGGCCAACAACGATTTTCTTAAACCCAGCGCGTGCTTAAGAGATATAGCAAGATTTCTTTCTTACTTTCTACACATAGAGCAACGATTTTTAAAACGCCTTCTTCTGCAGAAGGCGCTTCACTTAAAAGGCATCCCGAGAGAGATATATCCCGCGCTTGGCCATTGGGGTTAAACCCAATGATCCACCTCCACTGGCACACACACTTTTCGCCTTTCCCAGGCGACACGACCGTGGTCCACAAAGCTAGAGCCTGTAGCGCACGACAAGTAGACTTAAATGTTTCAAAACATAAACAGAATGGGACAAAGGGAACCCCTTTAGGAATAAGAAGAGAGCTGGTGATGAATTCCAGTATGTTTTTCTTGTGCTTACATCATATATTCTGCTGACGCTTTTGATAAAGCGCATCTGCTCGTTGATGGTGAACCCAGAAAGGTATGCGAATCCAGCCAATAAAGAGGGCACAATTCGGGCTATGCCTGCAAAATACAACAAATAACAAGGACATCTGCAAAACGAAATCAAGTGACTTTGGCGTCCACTGCAAGGCACACATTGGTGTATGCCTACAACTTCCGGTAGTCTTTTAGTAGCGAGCGTGAAAGTCGATGAAGCCTTACTTTTGTTGTGAGACTCAACAACCACAATAACTTGGCTCTTCTGATAAAGCACCAGCTCGCTCCACACGGTTACAGCTGTGGCATACTGCGCCGGTGGAAGCTTGCAAATCTGTGTGCAGCTAGTGCTCGCCGAAGTCCTGAGGCTGCTGTCCCACGGTATAAGATCTGTTGGAGAGTCGTACAACCCCTTTATTTTCTCAAAACCAGAGGGTGTGTTGATATGCTTCTTTACTTCTGAAGGACGTTGCGTTTGCGGGGTTGTGAGAAGGCCAGATATACACTGGATAGCCGCCTTTGGACCCAAGCTGTAGAATATGCTGCCTGTCAGAATATAATCCGGGGTCTGACATGCCATAAGCTCAGTGTCGAATGCAGTAGAAGTGAAAACCCACTCTCTGGGGGTGTTTTGGTTCGCACTTGCATCGACCCGGGATGTGACAAGTCTTGGATTGATAGGCAATTCACCTTTTTGGTTTACTTTACTCGGAAGCGTTCTCATGGTTTGAACTGGAGCATTACCGTCGCTCGTTTGGGGAAGCACTTTGCTTTTCGCCTGAACGTTCGAGGCTCTCGACAGTAAAGCTGCAGACAGCTTCACAAGGTTTTTCGGTCCCAATGTCCCTCCAGCAACAAATCTACTGTTCTGCTCCTTTCTTTCGCAAAATCGTGCAGATGAATTGGGTGAGTGTGAAAGCTCGTTGAGAAGGTCTAGGCCAACAGATTTCAGTGGTTCTCCTGAAATTAAAACTGGAATACCTGAACTCGCAGCAACAAAGTGGCGAACAATGCATCAAATTCAAAAACAAAAACCTTGGCAGCATGCGAATTTTCCATACACACAACATTAATGCAATTGACACAAAAACAACAGACTACTTTCAATTAACCCACTCAAGTAGGTAAGAAAAGGATCTGCGACTACAAAACTGCGGCCGAAGCAAAAAAGAACCAAATGTGACCACGGAAGAGACATAACACCATTCGATCACCAAAAAACAACAGCACATCAGCAACCTCCACATTCCCCCCAGCTTCACCAGCCTTCGCCTTCACAGGAGGAAGACCCTTCACGCCAACCGCCTTCGGCAGAGCCGCAGGAGGAACGCCCTTCGCCCCAACCGCCTTCAAAACAGGTGGCCGCTTCCCCGCAGCGCCTGCCTCCACGCCATCCTCACTCTCCTTCCCTGACGCTCCTTCTTCCCCAACCGTCGCCTCTCCCCTCTTCCCCTCCCCAACCTCCACATCCCCAGCAGCTTCACCAGCCTTCGCCTTCACAGGAGGAAGACCCTTCACGCCAACCGCCTTCGGCA